GTCTATGAAAATACATATAATTTTTGGAGGATCAAAAAATAGTACTTCGATAGTTATTGAGAAGAACATATTGCCAAAAAAGTAATGTGAAAACTTATATATATATATATTTTTTTTGTATCTTGATATCTGCGTTCCTGAATAATGGTTCCCTCAGGGACACCAGGTGGCAAAAGCATGGCCTTGAACTACAGAGATAAAAACACACAACTTAATTTTGCCACTTAATATATGCTTCTTGTTTTGGGGCAAGGCCTTCAGGCTCTGAGTCTCAGAGGTTCTTATCTAAAAATAGGTACAAAAACAATGGTTTTCAGGGTATCCTCAAACAGATATAATAAAGTCCAAGTAGAGTCCTTGGAGCCTGTCACTCTCTTATTTTATATTCTTTTTTTTTTAAGATTTTATTTATTTGACAGAGAGAGACACAGCAAGAGAGGAAACACAAGCAGGGGGAGTGGGAGAGGGAGAAGCAGGCCCCACTGAGCATGGAGCCCGATGTGGGACTTGATCCCAGGACCCTGGGACCATGACCTGAGCCAAAGGCAGATGCTTAATGGCTGAGTCACCCAGGTGCCCACTTGTTTTATATTCTTCATAGCACTTCCCACTATTTGAGATGATATTCATTTATTTATTTACCTGCTCTTTGTCTCTTTATCTGGAAAAGAAATTCAAAGGGAACAGTGACTTTTCTCGGGCCTAATGAACAGGTGGTGACTCCATATATATTTGCAGGATGGGTGAATATATGGTAACTACTAAGTGGGTTAGTTTTCTTCCTCATGTCTAATATGTGGGAGTTCAGTGTTGACTAGCTCGTGTTTTGTGGGTTTACTGTGATTCTTTGAGATAGCAAGAGTTTTAGGTTGAAAATATTCAAATGGAATTGATAGCTGACTTCTCTTTATGCCAGGTTCAAAAGGATGTGATAAGAAAAATACTGTATGTATGAGATATATGCATATGCATGTATCCTATATATACATATGTGTAATATATATATAATAAGTCATTCACATGTAAATTAGTATTAAAATCTAAAATTAGGAAAGGAAAAAGAAAGGCTAAAGGGACTATGCAAAAAAAAATATGAAAAAAAAACCCTACAATTCATCATAAGAAATGAAACTTTGTATATTAACTTTCATTTTTCTTCTCCTGTTCCAAAGTTTTTGTCCATTTCCTCTTTGTGTTATCAATGTCATTTTCTGGTTTTCCAAACAAATAATCTTGCAGACATTAATGATCCCTGGGTATAAATATCCTTAACCCATATGATTTCCTTTGTGATGATTATGAAATACAGAATGTTTACATTATTATGGGACTGAAATAGGTCATCTCTCAAAAGTTATTTTTATTACATCTGAAGTATAAACTGTACACATGACTATGAGAAGCCCACCTTGTAGGGCAAAATATATATAATAAACTTAAAACATGAAATCCAGAAATACAGAACATCCTGATCTTCAAGGTTCCTTACTTGTTATTCAAGAAACAGATTTAGTATGCACACATGTGCAAGAATTCAAAATATGCAACTGAAGGGAAATCTCTTTACAAAACAATAGAACCAAACAAGTTCCTGTGGATTCAGAGGTTCAACGCTAAGTCTTTATCAAAGAGCATTCTTTGGATAAAATGGTTATTATATTTTCTGTTGGCCTTTAAGAAATCCCTCAAAATAATCTTGCAGCTGTTCAAAGTAGCTAACTCTACTGATACTGGCTGCATCTCTGGTCAGCATCTAAGGAAGCGTGAACCATGGAAAGCAAAGAAAACAAAGCTAAGTCTGTGACCATAAAAATTATTTTTGAAAACAAAATAATTTTTCACTTTAGCTGATTTTTCTAACGTCACATTCTGGCAGTATTTTAATGCCCAAAGCACAGACTTTAAGACTCTTCCAAAGCTATCCAAGCAATGGGTGGTACTGGCTGATCTCAATTCATTAGTCAGGATCAGGAAAGAAGGAAGATGCCAAGAGAGACTTACAATCATTATCTCAGAAGTAGGAATGTGGTATACAGGCACTTTTTGTCACCATAACCCCAAACTGGTAGGAATTCTGTATGTCATAACTATATATTTTGGAATAGCCCACTTAAAAATAGTAGGATTTGACCTACTTTAGTCCAAAACTCTCAGATATGATACAGACAAGGTGGACAGGGAAGCTGTTCACATGCTTGGAAGTGGATGGGAAATGTGGACGTGCTAGGGCTGAACAGATGATTTCCAAAGAGAAGATGCCGTATTCTTTAAAGTGTAAAGAGGAGTGCTCTGTAAGCGTTGTGAATACTTCTCCTAGCAAAGATGACTACTCTATTATTAGCATACAATCTGGAAATGAATGGCTAATGGTAGCTATGGGGAACTCATAGGTGGGTGTGTGTGTATCTTTTGAGGGTGGGTCAGGAGATATCCGTAATTCCTATCCTGCATCCAATCTTTGCTACTGCTTACCAGACTTTGACATGTAAATTACCTAGAGAAAAACCTTAAAAATACAACACTTAGAAAGTATAATATAAGGGTGCCTGGGTGGCTCAGTTGGTTAGGCGACTGCCTTCAGCTCAGGTCATGATCCTAGAGTCCCGGGATCGAGTCCCACATCAGGCTCCCTGCTCAGCAGGGAGTCTGCTTCTCCCTCTGACCCTCTTCCCTCTGGTGCTCTCTATCTCTCATTCTCTCTCTCTCAAATAAATGAATAAAATCTTTTAAAAAAAAAGTATAATATAAGAACCATCAAAAGAGTAGTTCTTACTGCATTTAATCCAACACTTAATTAACCAGTTCCCTTTTTATAAAAACACTAGGTGCTGAGAGAAGTGACAGTCGATACAGAGATAACTTAAACAAGATTTTGAACTCATAGGGTTGATTCCAAGTCCAAAAACACATTCATACAAAAACAAAACAAAACAAAAAAAACTTTAACTAGATGAACTAACTAGTAACAGGCTGTACGGAATTCACTAATGATGTTTTTCTATCTGTAGAGATTGATTTATATTTTTCCAATGATCAACTTACCACATTGGGGTTAATATTTTACAGTCACTTGTATGAAATTGTGATTATGAACTCAAATGATCACAATGACAATCTACCTTTTTCCATACATTTATCAAAAGGCACAACATCTTACAAGTCTATAGATCTCTTTTGGCCACCCAGTGATCTTAAACAGAGCATGTGTCCCTCTTCAACTCTTAACTCTGTTAATTTTGACAAATGAAAATTATATCATCAGTCAAATACAAGCATGGTGCTTCTGTAAATGTTAAAGTTCACTCTGGTCGTTAAGTGCATCAGGGAAGAACTGCTAATGACCAGGACCTAAGAAACAGGATCAGGCACCTGGGCTCTATGCAGCATGAGGCTGACTCAAGAGCTGAGCCATGACGCAATCTGAGACCCTTGGCAAATTTCTCAGTTTCTCGGTACCTCCGCATCCTCACATAAGGGAAGGGGATGATAATAATCCCCACCATACCGGGTGGTGGTGAGAATGAAAGGACAACACACAGTCCTTATACCAATGCTTCGCTCATAATGAATCATCAGTGAATGGTAACTATTAAAGTGTCTTTGCAAGCCCGCTTTATTTTGCATTGTTCACACAAATCAGTTCAATGTTCTAATTCATTGTATCATAGGAACCAGAGAGCGTTCCCTTTTTTCTTCCTTCAACATCTTTATTTTCAAAATTGCTGCATCTCTCTTTATCTCTCTTTTTTTCATTGTTTGGAGTTTAATATTTGTTTTCTGTTCCTTTTCTTAAGGTGAATTTTGAATACAGGCAAATGAACAAATCAGACTTTTGCATATGATGGGGTGTGAAAAATCCACATAATTGAGTAATCACATCCCTTATCAGGATAGAGAACTCTTCCATAATCCCAGAAATTTCTCCCTCATATGTCTTCCCTGTTAATCCTCCCCTCAACCACACAGAGGCAACATTCTGTTTTTTCTTTTTCAGCTGTTTTAAAAATCCTAGAAAAATATAAGAACTCAAAAATAATACGTTGCCCTAACTCTTTAATTCATGAGATATAAATTCCAAACAAATGCCAACATATGAAATGTGTAATGGACTGTATAATGCTAATCCCATTTCCACTTACATTCGATATCAAGTTAGGTTTTATTATTGATATTTCATTTGAGTTCAGAAAGTAACTTGTCTTAAAGATCAGAGGATATTAAAACTGTAGGCATAATTTTTTCCTCCCAAGTTCAGAATAGAGGAGTATAAGTCTCCTACATTCCTCTCATTACTTGAAGTATTAAAGAAGCCAAGAAAAGAAAAGAAAGGAAAAGAAAAGAAAAGAAAATATCTTTAAGCATAAAACTTGGCCGGTTCTCTCTCTCTGTGAATATGTCTATCTACACAAACATACCCATACATAAGTTGACTAAATATAACTCATATAAACTTTACTTTCATATTAATTTAAACATTTAAAAACAATTAGCTTAGCAGATTTCATTTCTTAGTTTTTCATCTCTATATTTCAAGCCTTTCACAGGGTCTTTTTAAAATAATAAATACGTATACGTTTGAGATCTTAAAGGTATCTTAGTGTGATAATTTTTTTTTAAGATATCTTACTGTTTTTAAATATAAATTGCCTTGAACTAGGGATAAAATAATTAGTATAAGCCATATGAAATTAATGTATTTCTATTTTTAGGGATTGATTTTTTTTTTTAATACAAAACTGATTATAACCAACAGACCAAAATCTCCTAATTATGCTAATCAGTTGTTGATCATTGTAAATAATGAGCTGAAAAGTGTACATGAACACCTTTGGCACCATTTTCCTCACAAAAATAAGAAATAATTGGGCTTTGTGTTCTATAATAATATTTTTATTAACTGATGCCAATACTATAAACATTTCACTGAAGTCAGTATGCATTTCTAAATAAAAGAAATACAGTAATTAAAAAGACAATCTGAAAAACATTTACACACTTACCTTTGTAAGTCAGCTTGAGTCGTGGAATATTTTGCTTAGAAGTTCCAATGACTGGAAGAAATAGCATGGTCATGCATAATATCATCAAGGCATGAAAAAGGTGAAAGTCGTGGCTCCTGAACTTTGGTCTCTCATTTTTATTAGCAGTCATTTTGAAAACAATGTCCTCTTTCAAAGGGTGTTAATCTAAAAAATAAGAAAATAGCTATTAATATAGCAGTTTGTAGATTTTCCTAGATTTACTAAATCATAATTTTCTGAATGTGTATAGATTTTTAAAAAATAATTGCTCCTTCTCGCTTGTTTATCTCGCAAATTGCTACAAAGGAAAGAAATCAGAGTTGAATAATAAAATTCAGGTCTGCCTTTACACAGATGCAGAGATCAAGCCATAACTAAATTTCAACTACTTATGATGATTAGCATTTCTTCCTCTATTAAAGTTTGCTTGTTCTAACAGAAATGCAGAAGGAACCAACTCTTAACTTGATGAGTTCTTTACTCAGATAAGAATACCAGTAGAAGTCCATTCTTTCCCCATATCATCCCTGAGGAAAAAGATCCCTAGGCAAAAGCAAATAAAAGCTGTTATTTTCAGGGAATTAATTTCTTGTTTCTGATATAAAGATGTTTTAAAAGTCTACTTAAGGGGCGTCTGGGTGGCTCAGTCGTTAAGTGTCTGTCTTCGGCTCAGGTCATGATCCCAGGGTCCTGGGATCAAGCCCCGCATCGGGCTCTCTGCTCGGTGGGGAGCCTGCTTCTCCCTCTCCCACTCCCCCTGCTTGTGTTCCCTCTCTTGCTGTGTCTCTCTCTGTCAAAAAAAAAAAAAAGAAAAAATAGTGTACTTAAGGGGAGCCTGGGTGGCTCGGTCAGTTAAGTGTCTGCCTTCAGCTCAGGTCATGATCCCAGGGTCTTGAGATCAAACCCTGTGTCAGGCTCCCTGCTCCGTGGGGAGCCTGCTTCTCCCTCTCCCTCTGCTGCTCCCCGCTGCTTGTGCTGTCCTTCTCTCTCTCAAATAAGTAAATAAAATCTTTAAAAAAATAAAAATAAAAGTCTACTTAAAATTGGAAAAATTAGGTATGATTAGGTCAGGGCCACCACTACAAATTTTAGGCCTGGGATGATGCAAGTTTGGTTGTCTGTTTTTGTTTTGTTTAAGATTTTATTTATTTGAGAGAGAGCACAAGAAGGGAGAGTGGCAGAAGGAGAGGGGGAAGCAGGCTCCCCGCTGAGCAGAGAGCCCAACGTGGGGCTCGATCCCAGGACCCCGAGATCCTGACCTGAGCCGAAGTCGGACACAACTGACTGAGCCACTCAGGTGCCCCAGTTGTCTTTGTTAAGACATGGAATAAATTAAAACACATATTTCAAACTAAGCCATATAATAATAATTACAAATAATAGTCATTGAATATTTATATGTACCAGACACTTTTTGTTTTAAAGTGCTTTCCATAAATGAAATGACTTAATGCTTTTAAATTAACAAGGAGGCCATTAGACTCTGGCAGCTCTGATGAGGTGGTGGCCTCCTTAAGCAAATGGAAATCTAAGTCTATAAATGCCTCAAAGTCACAAAATCAAAACATTAGGGATAACCAATCACAACCAACCAACTAGGCCTTAGGCTATAGCTAATTCTTTCTTTGCTTCGGCACTTTCTCCACACAAGTCTCTCCCTGACTCCTGAAGGCAAAGCACTGCTAACCACTTCCAGTTTGGCACTACATGACTGGAACCAATTTTTGCACAAAAAAACTTAAAATTTTAATATGTCTATCTTTTAATAATGCTACTATAGTCATAAAGGATGGATAATTATTTACCTCATTTTACAGATGAGGAAACTGAGGTATAGAGTTAAATGGTTCTCCCAAGGTCACGTGGCAGATAAAAAGTAGATAAAAATATGTGGTCAGGACTTTAGCTAGAGTTGGCCTCTTAAAACCCTGTCTTTGGGTGCTTTTCAATATGGTAGAATCACGTGATCTTCAACTCTTGCAGTCTTCAACCTCTCTTCTTTCTCCACAAAGTTATCACTGTCTTTCTAAGAAATAGACCACAGAAAGGATCTTGCTATGCTTACTTCCAGGCAAGATTCCAGATGTAGTACCTGCTTTAAATTCTGTCCAAATAATTTCTGTGCTTTCTTGGTAATAGTTGTAGACAAAATAAAAAAGTCTTATCCTTTAAATAATTTTCTAATTATTTAATATCAAAATATTCTATGTTTATATGGGTTAGTTCTTTTCTTTTAAGATTTTACTTATTTGACAGACAGAGAGGGAACACAAGTAGGGGGAGTGCGAGAGAGAGAAGCAGGCTTTCTGCTGAGCAGGGAGCCCGATGTGGGGTTCGATCCCAGGACCCTGGGATCATGCTCTGAGCTAAAGGCAGACGCTTAACCTACTGAGCCACCCAGGAGCCCCTGTTTGGTTTAGTTTTAAGAGAAGGTCTAATATGAGTGAACTTTCTTATGAAAGATCAACCCTTTAGTAAATGCTTATGCATATCAAGGATCTAGTTACTCTGAATCTCAGAACTTAAGATCAATCTGGGAAAATGAAGTAAAATAAAATTTAGGGATGTATTGATTTATTGTTATACTTGACAAACATTTTAAGGATACTACAAATTTTATGTTTCTTCATGAAATGTTTACTATGAATCTTATTAAATTATATTTTTATATATATATTTTTTAAAAATATTTTTATATTATAATAATTTACTTTAATTATCTTCAAAGATACCTATAGGATGTACCTAACTATTCTGTCTTGTGTGTAATCTGTGCATATTTAATTCTTTGATTTAGAAAATTACTGCATATGTAAATAATCAAGGTAATTTAGATACTCATTTAAGTGTGACGCCTGGGTGGCTCAGTTGGTTGAGCGTCCAACACTTGATTTCTGTTCAGGTCGTGATCTCAGGGTCCTGGGATCCAGCATGGAGTTGGGCTCCACACAGTGGGGAGTCTGCTTGAGGATTCTCTTCCTCTGCCTTTCCCTCTGCCCGTCCCAACCCTCTCCCACCCCACCCCCACTCATACACGCTTGCTTGCTCACTCTAAAACAAATAAATCTTTAAAAAAAGAATATTGTACTAAATATGCCACATATTACATATTTTCACATTTACTTGACATTCCTTGAGCAGTATTAATTAGATATAATTTGAGAGAAAACAAGAATGTCCTTCTGACCAAAAAGATCTATTCCATCAGTAGCACTTTATGAAAATTTTAGTTTTTAAAATTTCATTAATGCATAAAATAAAACACTAACAAAGTTCTTCTTTAAATAATATATTTAAAATAAATTCTTAAAAAATAAAAAACTGTATTATTTTAAAGCTAGTAGGACAAAATGTTTGTTACTGCCACAAAAGAGTCACTTTAGCTGGTCCACAGGAAAATTTATCAGGACTAGTTTTAAATTATGTGAGTTTTAAGTTTCAATCTCTTAAGAAATGAATCTTGTAATTTTTGAATTTGTCCAATTATGCCAGTAAAAAATAGATACATTCTTTGACTTACAGGTTCTCCTTAAAAACTTACTACTTTCATGCAAATAAGAACATATGTACAAGAATATATATGTTAACAGTCATTAACATCACAGCTAGTCCCCAACCATTTGTTAAGATGAGGAAAAAGATAAGACTCTTTTTGGAAAGAAGGGGTTGATTACAATAATTAAAGCACTATGAAACAATTTCTAAAATCAAGATATTTTGGGGATGCTATGGAAGATAGCTCAAAGGAGTACCATATAGATTTAAGCAAGACAAGGATAGTTTCATGGAGGACAGTGAAAGGAGAAGGGAAAGCAAAGAGAGATAGTTTCAGAAGGCAGTGATAACTCATTAAGGGTTCTTGAAAAGCCAGAAGCATTTTAGACTTGGTTAGACTGCTACGCGGAGAAGGGATATAATAGCATCATCCAGAAAGGTGCAAGAGAGAGGAGATGAACCTGACCTAACTGCTAAATGTGCCTCATGCCTGTTCTGGTACCTAATATATTATGACTCGGATAATGCCATTACTCCACACTGCCTTTGATATTAGATCATATGTGCTGATCCTATTCGTATGCATCAGTGACTCTAATCCCATTTGCCTGTTCCTTTCATTTTTCCCTCTATCTACATGTTAGCAGAATATAGGTATCTGATTGCAGATCCATAGCCTTGGCATACACACGTGTATTCCTCCACTTATCCTTCCTCCCACTTCCCACTCCCCTCCCCCCAAAAATGAAAGGTAAATTGAATATAGAGTTTACATGTATTAAACTTCTCATTAGGCTTAGTTTTTCTGAGCTTCTGGACATGTGAAATACTACCTTTTTCTTCATGACATGCAACAATGCTTGTAACATGAATGTATGTTTAGGTACACAGGCAAAAAGAGAGGGAACTTTCCATGTGTGCATTTTATTAGCAATAATGACCTCAGTACAGGACCTTTCTTGGGAATTAATGACCAGTTGGGGTTAATGGCCCTTGGCTATGTATTGAGATATCTACTCCTCCAACTGATCATTAATCGCTAAGACATGCCCTGTGCCTCCAATGCTATAACTTAAGATGATTGATGTTTTGGTTTTCAGTGAACAGTAGTCATACTGTTCCTTGTAACCCAATGCATTAATACTGTTAAATAAGTTAAAAATCAAAGTGCTGTTTTCCTTGCTACATGACATTCCGATAAGTGCATGCACGTGCTGTTACATATGCTAAGGGTGAGAGACAAAATAAAACAAAAATCCTGAAACTGCTGGAACTTTTTTTTTAACTTTAAATATTTTTCTACTATAAAACAGTCACTCTCCATAATCTGCTGTTCCTGATTCATTGTTTTTCTTCCCAACAATCCTCTGAATTCAATAGTTAATCTTTTAATTGAGGTAATTTATGGGTTAAGTGTATAGCCAACAACCTCTCCACTAATCTATTGATATTTTGCCATCTTCCTTCCAGTGGATGTGGATGTGTGTGTGTGCGTGTGTGTGTGTGTGTGTGTGTGTGTGTGTTGTGTACGCACACGTGTGGGTCCTGCATCTGGGAGGAATTACAGAGAGAAGTAGGTGTGATTTAACCTAAAGTGGGTGGATTTAGTGAATTGCATAGGTTATACTGCAAGCTACTGTCTGTAACAAGCTCGACCTGGAGCCAATTAACTGA